GAAAATGCTAAAATTAATGGGCTTTCTCTTGAAATACAGTCATGTAACAGGTATCTGTTATGTTCCCATTAATATTAGCTGAATCCTAACCCCAAACAATAGTGATAAAGATTCCCCAGAAATTTCCATAGCAATGAGCTCATTTAATGAAGTTAGGTATAGATATGAGAAGAGCACCAGTATGCAAAATTGGCTGGAGGAATCACTCCTTGGCCAATAGTTCACTGGAAACATGCCTAGAAGAATGGCAGAGAGGTAGAGTTACTTTAAAAATATTTGTACTCATCATCTACTACGTTCAGACTTACATTAGGCATGGGAGACATAAAGGAGAATAGGACAGTTCTTGACCTTAAAATGCTCACAGGCTAGTATGGAAAACAAAGTGAAAATGTTAAATGCAATATAAAAGATATGACCATGTGGGGTGAGGAGTTGGACGCAGTTATAGAACATTTCTGAATGTAGAAAGGATATTTAGGGGTTACCAAGTGAAGTATGTGAGTTTATACTGCTATAGAAATAGGGCAAGAGGTAATTGCAGAGAGAGTGTTCTATTCAGAAGGAACAATATGTGCAAAGTCTTGGAAGGTGATACTCAGCCAGGCATAAGGAACAAAACATGAAGAAGAAACAAAGATGTTACCCTTGGGGAGCTTCCAGTCTGTGTCTTCCCTGTAAGTGGATGAATTAAACCATGACAAGCTGAGTTCAATGAAAGGGGATGAATAAAGTTCTAGGGATATATCATTACCTAGAAAGTCAAGAAAAATTTTATAGAAGAAGGTAGTTACCATTTGTGCTGGATCTTCAATCTTCAGTTGTCCTGTTTCCAAGTGTATTCTTATAGAAACTGGTCAAAGTCCCTAATGATTCCAGTAAACAAATATCCTAAAATAGTTTCAGAGTAATACATGAAAGTGAGCATGTGTTTCCAGAATATGCCGAAAATGGAAATAAAGTAAAGGCCACTACTGAACCAACAGAAAGAGGGATGAAGTATTCCTTTTGAAGTCTAGTTCAAAAATGAGAATTTGTGGAATCAGAAATGTCAAATATCATAGGAAAAGAATTCAAACAATGACTCAGTCCATCTGCTAAATCATTCAACTGATAATCAATATATGCATACTGCATCCCAGTTACTTTGGACATAGGGATACAGACACAGGTCAAAAAGGCAACACCTTCCATCAAGACTGACAAGGCTAGTAGATGGGAGAGACATGGAAATGTGTGAAATACAATGGGATCAATAAGTGCTGTGCTGGGGTATGTACAGGAGACTCAGAGGCACTGAACCAAGCTTTTTGGAGGGGAGAGACACAGAGTTGGGCAATTAGGTTAGAGAAGGTTTTCTATAAGAGATACTAGTATAAAATAACATACAGTCCTCCTGGCAGCAGGTCACCAAATCTGAGATTATAAAATAAATGAAGAAATCCATCATTAACTGCAGTCGACATTCTGGTATCTGGTGTGAATGTAGAGTAAGAAAAAAGTCAATGATCGAGGCTCAGATATATGTCACTAGGGTAAAGGCTCTGCTGAAGGAGGTCTCTGTTGACATTCCTTCCCTTGAAGATGATTGACAGGTTTACTCTGATAGTGACAGATGGTGAAATTTATAAAGCCTGAGGCAATAGAAGCCAAATCATATTTATTTGCCTAAACAATCCAGTCTATCCACTACTTCCTGGAACCTTGTAGAAATGACAGTTCAAAGACATTTCAGTTTCTGGTGTTCAATGATTTTAGTAGAGTAACTATGGAGCAAGAGACTGCCTAACTGAGGGAGTCTAAGGTATTCATGTAAGTGTAATTGGGAATACAATTTTTTTTCTGTGGTAGTCCCAAAGAGACCTTAAATTGGTATTTATTCACAACAATTGTTTCAGTACAGGAACTGCTCTGGGCTAAGGTAAGCATAAGGAAAGGCACTGACTTCTAGGGCCACTGACCTTTTTAACTTAGAGAAAATTAATCTGTTCAAAAGTCATCTCATTTGCATTAAATATAGTTACATATAAACTTACACTGCAACAAAGAAACTAATAGTTTCAGCAGTACCCTCATTTTCACACATATGGTCAAAGCCATTCTATGGCATAGATATTATTAGACTCATATTATAGATGTACAAAATGAGAAAAATAAGCCTCAGATTAAATGACTTGCCCAAGAACATACAAAACTGAAATGAGAGAAATGAGATTTAAATCAAAATTTATCTCTATCCAAAATTCAGATTGCCTCTCTAGTTCAAAAGTCATCATTCTAAATAACTATCACCAACAGCAATGTTTTTTGGAGCAGGGATAATATAAAATATCACCAACTTATCTTCTTAAGATGCAGTTGGTAGTAATATTTAGGAAAATCTAAGTAGCAAAAATATGTTGCAAAATTTAAAAATATAAGATAGTGCTATTAGAGTGACTCCATACCAAAAGTATTGTTGTTTAGGCCTTAGAAAATGCAGGCTATTTCAAAAATAGTAAAAAGAAAGAAAGAAAATCAAAGGAAAGTCATGGATCTATTGAAGAGATAATCCAAAATAACAACCCATAAATGGATAAAGCAATATTCAAAGAACTCTTTCAAACCCCAATCTTCTTTAATCCCTGTAGCATCCGCTCCTGTTGGCCATGTTCTCCTACCTGAAACCATCTCTTCCCTCCTGCTTTGTGAACCACATTCCTTATTTTCCTCTTATCTTATTTGGATCCCTTCTGCCTCTTCCTATTCCTCAAATTCAGTTATTTTCCTTAATTCTTTCTTAGCCTATTACTTATTTTACTGCATAGGATTTCGTTGACTTACTCCACTGTCCAAGTTTTAACTTAAAACGCCATGCTACTGTAATTCCAAATCATATCTCCAACCCAAGGTTACAATTCCAGTTCTGACTCACAACTCTTTCCAGTACAACATTGTAGTCCTAAGTAAATAAGAGGAGGTTAAGAATTCTAAGTAGGGTTCCTAAAACCACACTGGATTATTGTTAAGTGGTGGAAAATTCAGAACCCAGGCAAGACCAAGTGTGACCTGAGGGCCTCAATTATGAATTCCATGAGCCTAGACACAGTTGATTGAGTTTGAATTTGTGTTTCCTTCAACTGCCCTCCTCCTCTTTGTTATCTACTCATCCTCAGCTGTGGCTTGTCTACTTTAAAACAGAGCAATGGTTTCTATTCTAAGCAATTTCTTATCTCCCCTTAGATCTGTAAAAACCAAAGTAAAATGCAGCTGTTGAACACATTTCCCTTTGCTTAGCCTATGTCTCTAATTCCCCATTCTCATTTTTCAGCAAACCAATTTTCTCTTTACCGTCTGTCTCCTACAAATACATCTGAGAAATCCTTTCTTGCTGATTGAATTAGGCTCTGAAAATTAATAGTTTTTTTCTTTCACTTCCAGTTATCTCTTAAAAATTTGTTCAAAAGCATATTTGCCTTTGAATCTTTCCAATTCTTACCATCAATGAAGAGTTGTGGTTTTCTTTTTATGCTTCCTATTTTCTAAGGCTTTCTTTGTGGGGAGTGTCAGAGAGAAAATTATCTCTTTAACTGTTTTACCAGCAAGCACTAATGTGTTTTTAACTAGAGTTTATTAACTTTGCACTGTAATTTCAGTCCCTTTAGCCCTATCATAATTTAATACATATCCTAATAACTGTTCCTTTATTCATTTAAAACTATTTATTGAAACCTATAATGTATGAGACTATATTAGGTCTTAGAGATAAGATGAACTATACATGAAAACTTCAAGAGGCTTACAATTTTGAGGTAAAAATATGTGAATAGATACTGTATAAGTAATATTTCTTAATAATAAATGATGTAGGTGATTGCATAAGAGTATAACTAAGAAAAGTATTGGGCAGAGCGTTGCCCTAGAAATAATGCTTGACAAGGAGCTTTCTGTGCAGACCAAAGATAAAAGTACATTTGAGAAAAAGAAAGCAGCATTCTTAAGGCCACATATGTCTAAGGTGGGCCCTTAGCAATATCTGACAAGTTCAAAACAGTCCACCCTTCTCTGGAAAACGTCTCCTTACTCTATGACACTGAAACACATGTGAACCCCCTGAGCTAAGTTTGTACTTCATAAGTCACACCACAGCCAAACACCTGTTCATCCAACCAAGTGGCCTGAGGTAGCAGAGGAAGAAAAAAGTGAACAAGATACAGACAGTAAAAAAGAAGAGAGAAATAGGGGTTCTGACCATCTTCCAAATACCCATTTCAGTTCTTTTGAGAACCAGATATAATCTAACTTCAAGTTTCTTAGAGATACTCTATGTCCTTATCATAAATTTCCCCTTTTTGACTTAAGCCTCAGTTGGTTTCATTACTGGTAACTAAAGAGTCCTCAATAATCCATGTATTAAAGAGTTTGAACCAACCATATCAAGCTCCAATGGCCAAAGCTGAAACACAGTGAGCAATAAAATAAAAAATTTAGTACTGGATGATAATACAAAATATAAAATGTGTATACACAAAATCATGTTAATATAAATAAATGATTAGATAGATACATACACAGATAAATAAATGTGGGAATGCAGGTAAGTTGCCAGAGAAATTTCAAATAACATATATTGATACTGTTCCCTCCTGGGGGTAGACATCAAACCTCTCTTCACCCTTGAGTGTGGGCTGAATTAGTGACTCATTTCCAAAGAACAGAGGTAGAAAAGGAAAGCTAGTAACTTTACAGTGCAGAAACTTGGCAAAAACTACCTTACCTGAGAAGTCAAGGTTCATATCACAGTGATAATTGATGTTGATAGCATGTCCCCCTTGATATGTGATGAGAAGGCACAGTCACTTCTGTGATACCCTTCATAAAAACCCATACTCCAGTCATAACCATGAGGAAAATCATCAAACAAACCCAACTGATAGGTGTTCTACAAAATACCTGACCAATACTCCTCAAAATTCTCAAGATCATACAGAACAAGGAAAAGCTGAGAAAGTGTTACATACCACAGGAGACTAAGGACATGTGATGGTTAAATAGAATGCAACATCTTCGACAGGATCCTGGAACAACAACAACAAAAAAAAAAAACGTTAGGGGAAAAACGGGTGAAATCTTCATGAAGTATATAGTTTAATCATTAAGAATGGACCAATATTTGTTTCTTGGTTTTGACAGATATACCATGGTATGTGAGATGCTATATATTGGAGAAAAATGAGCAGTAAACTCTATTCTATCTTTGCAAATTTTCTGTAAATCTAAGATTACTCCAGAGTGAAAAGTAAAAAAAAATTTTTTTAATTCCAAAGTTAAATGAATTTGGTATGGCTAAACTGCAGGATTCACATAAGGGCAGGGCAGCAAATATTGAGATCAAAGAAATAAGTGAAGAACAAATTTTAGAGAATCGTCTTGCCCGTACAAGACAAGGAGAGTTCAACAAAGGAGTGGAACTCTTTAACCTGTGTTTTAGAAATAACTTTTTGTGCCTTTGCAGAAGATATATTGGAGAGAAGGGAAGCCTTGGAGAAGAAAGCCTGGTTGTAGGTGCATTACAAAGTCTTAAGGACTTAAATTAGGATCTCTGTTGATATGGCACTACTACTGAGACCAATGTCTGAATAACCCATTTACTCAATCAGATATGTATAAAGTCACAAAAGGCAATTTTTCAAAAGTCAGAGCAGCACTTGATATACAGGGGCAGCTCTCACCCTGAGACTGCATTACTGGTCTGAGATCAGCAAGGAGGTTTCACTTTCATTATTGATTTTGAAGCAGCACTTCAATTCACCTTTAAATACTCTTTCCATCTTCCCCTTTACATTATAAAATCTCCATCAAAGGTAGTTACTGCTTTCCGCATGTTCCTTCAAAATCAACTCCTTATAATGTTTCTTCCACTTAGCATTTAAAGTCTAATAATATTGTGCTCACTGCCAATGCCCAAAGTCCACCCAATTATCATAATTGGCTTTTTTCCTAGGATGCACAGGAATAGCAACTGACCACAGCCTAAGAGGAGCAGTGAGATCCCCCAATGTGAATCTAACAAATCCAGCCCTATTCTAAAACTCTCCTTTCTGTAGTTGGTTCCCAGGTGTTCTGATCAATATCTGAGTAATTAAAATTACTCATGATCAAAGTTTTGACCTTTGCATTAGCCCTTCTTATCAGTAAAAGCATGTCTTGATCTCCCTGTCAGTAGCTGCCTGGAGATTTGTACAGCAGTATCTCTTAAGCCCCTGCCTCCCTCTCCTGTCCTTGACTTTGGTCATTCTGTGCTTGCTATGTCAGCCAAAATCAAGCAGTAAATGCCCTTGGTTGCCCCAGCTAATCCTAAGCCTGCACCACCTCGCTGCCCTCTTCTGTAATGCTCCCCACATACTTTCTCAACTATCACTTTAAATTCTCTGATTTTTGCTGGTTTAGCCCTGTGACTGGTCAGTTTTCCATTCATGAATCCTTAAGAACATGATGAATCCTTAAGAACATGGCATCACTCTAATACCAAAACCACACAAAGAAAATACAAAAGAAGAAAATTGCATAGTTGAACATAGACACAAAATCCTCCATAAAATATTAGCAAACCAAATTCAAAAATATATCAAAAGAATCATCCATCATGACCAAGTAGGATTATTCCAGGGAAGAAAAGATGGTACAATACCGATAAAATCAATCACTGTGATATAACATTAACAAAAGGAAAGATAATAACCATAAGATCATCTCAGTAGATGTTGAAAAAGCATTTGACAAAATTCAACATCCATTCATGACAAAAACTCTCAACAAAATGGGTATAGAGAGAACATACCTTAACATAATGAAGGCCACATATGATAAACCCACAGCTAACATCATACTTAATGGTAAAAGCCAAGAGCTTTTTCTCTAAAATCAGGAACAAGACAAGGATACCCACTCTCACTACTATTATACAACATAATACTGGAAGTTCTAGCCATGGCAAAGAGACAAGAAAGAAAGATGAAGGCATCCAAACTGGTAAGGAAGAAGTAAAACTCCCACTATTTACAGATGACATGATACTATATTTAGGAAACCCTAAAGACTGCACCAAAAAACTATCAGAACTAATAACTGGATTCAGCAAACTCACAGGATACAAAATCAATATACAGAAATCTGCATTCCTATATACTAACAACAAACTAACAGAAAAAGAAATCAAGAAAACAATTCCATTTACAATTGAATCAAAATAATAAAATATCTAGGAATAAACCTAACCAAGTTGGCAAAAAACCTGTACTCTGAAATCTATTAGACACTCATGAGAGAACTTAAAGAGGGCACTAATAATGGAAATCTATCCTGTGCTCACGTATAAGAACTAATATTGTCTAAATGGCCATCCTGCCCAGAGCAATTTACAGATTCAATGCAATCCCTATCAAAATACCAATTTTCAATGAGCTAGAGCAAATAATCCTAAAATTTATATGAAACCACAGAAGACATTGAATAGCCAAAGGAATCTTGAGAAAGAAGGAAAAAGCTGGAGGTGTCATGTTCCTCAACTTCAATTTATATTACAAAGTTCCAGTAATCAAAACAGTATGGTATTGGCACAAGAACACATACATAGATCAATGGAACAGAGTAGAGAGCCCAGAAATAAACCCACATATATATGGCCAATTAACATACGATAAAAGAGAAATGAATATGCAATCGGGAAAGGACAGTCTCTTCAATAAATGGTATTGGGAAAATTGGACAGCTACTTGTAAGAGAATGAAACTAGACTACTGTCTAAGTCCATACACAAAAGTAAACTTGAAATGGATCAAAGACCTAAGTACAAGACAAGAAACCATAAAACTCTTAGAAGAAAACAGGCAGAAATCATATGAACATAAGCATGAATTATCTTTTTGTGGACATGTCTTCCTGGGCAAGAGAAACAAAAGCAAAAATAAACAAGTGGGACTACATCAAAGCAAAAAGCTTCTGTACAGCAAAAGACATCATCAATGAAACAAAAAGGCAACCTACATAATGTGAGAATATATTTGTAAATGATATATCTGATAAGGGGTTAACATCCAAATACGTAAGGAACTCATACAACTCAACACCAAAAAAATAGCCCAATTACAAAATGGACTGAAGACCTGAATAAACATTTTCCAAAGAATATACACATAGATAGGCAACAGGCATATAAAAAGATGCTCCACATCACTAATCATCAGGGAAATGCAAATAAAAACCACAATCAGATCACCTCACACCAGTCAGAATAGCCACTATCCAAACGACAAGAAATAGCCAGTGTTGACGAGGACCTGGAGAAAGGGAACCCTCGTACACTGTTGGTGAGAATGTAAATTGGTGCAGCCACTATGGAAGGCAGTTTGGAGGTTCCTCAAAAAACTAAAAATAGAAATACCATACAACCCAGTAATTCCACTCCTAGGAATTTACCCTAAAAAACGAAGTCCCTGATCAAAAAGATGTATTCACTGCTATGTATATTGATGCATTATTTATAATAGCCAAGAGATGGAAGCAACCAAAGTATCTGTCAATAGATGAATGAATAAAGAAGATGTGGTATATACACAATGGAACATTATTCAACCACAAAAATGAAAGAAATCCTGCCATTTGTAACAATATAGATGGACTCAGAGGTTATTATGCTAAGTGAAATAAGCCAGGTGATGACAAATACCATATGATATAAAAAAACATTAAAAAACAATATGTATGCATATTTATATGTTATATATATTTTATGTTGTCATCTAACATAATAATATATAGTATTGTGTATAATAATATAATATATATAATATATAAATCAATAAGACATATTTTAAAAATAAAAAGAATACAGAATTCAAATTCAGTAATCCAATCGTGTATGCTCTGGGTATTTGTCAAGAAAATGTGTTTGCTTTGCAAAGACAATGACAGGACTCTGTTCACGATGAACATCACCACTCTGAGTCCCCATCTCCCCGTACATAAATGAATAAAGGCTCCATTCAATTCTCATGATCCCTGACGAGGGTTATTATATATATGCTTATTTTACATTTACCCACAACTGCCTACTTCGTGACTCCTATCATCAGGCACTAGAGAAAGTGCCAAGAATAAAGCAACAAATCAGAGAGATATGGTTGCTGCCATCATGGGTCTTAAATTTTAATGGTGGAGAAAAGTAAGTAAATGAGTAGTTGTGATAAAAGTTGTACTGAACTAAACAGAGGCTTGTTGACAGCTATTTTTCTAATGTAAGAACTACCTACAAAACAGATCACTGGAGACAACAGAAAGGTATAGATTGATTCAAATTCCTATGTATGTTGAAGTTCAGGAAAATCACTGATATCCTGAGGCCAAACAAAGACAGCTGGTCATACAGCAAAAGTATGAGGGTCTCCTTCCCCAGACCTCAGGGATATTGAGATCATTTCTACATTCCAGTCCACTTTCTACACAGGATTTTTGTGCTTAAAATCCAAAACCACTTCTTTGGTTACTATGTCAATCCAAAGCATAAAAGAGAAATATGAAACCCTTCAGCAATTCAGACTATCTTAAGGTTCTAAAATCACCATGTAGACTGGGCCCCATCAATTCTTCACTTCCAAGCGTCAAGAGCTATGGTGATGATCTACCTGAGTTCAACTACGGTGATCATCTATCCAAATTCAACCCAACATATCCCAGGTAGATTGGTAAGAAGCTGCTTCAGAAACACTGTATCTGCCCCAATCAGCAATTCAGTTAATCTTCCAAAATACTCTTAACTGACCATCCGTTGGATAGTAAGAGCCATGAGGATAGTCACATTTCAGAATATGTCCATATAAAATGGTCAACTTACAATTCAGAACAACTCCAAATGTTCAACCAAAAAAAGAACTAATGTAGTTCTTAAGTAAGTGAGATCACAACATAGAATGTTATAAACAGAGCAGACCTGTAAGTTTACTGGTCCTCTATCTAACCTAGAGAAGAGACAGGAAGGACCAAAGAACTTAACCAACTTATTCAGTGTTGTACAGTTAAT